TCAGGGAAAAGAAGAGAAAAGTTTTTTTTGATACTTTTGAAGGCGGGAATGATCTATCCCGTTCTGTGTGTTTCTAGACAAAGAATTTTCGTATCCGTTCCTACGGAGAGCAAAGGTTCACTGACGTGGGTGTATAGCTCAGCGGTAAAGTATTCGGCTGCAGATCGAGAGGTCTCCGGTTCGAACCCGGGTGTCCCCTTTTTCAGGGAAGTGAAGAGAAATATATTTTCTTGAATTTCGAACGCTGGAATGATCTTTAACGTTCTGTATATTTCTAGACAAAGCATTTTCACATCCGTGGCGGTTTTGCCTCACATACGTGACGGTGTGCGCGCGCATCATAAAAATTCATCCTTATCCTATTTCTCTAAAGCCCAAAAAAGGAGTATAACTTCAAAAAAAAAAAAATCAAGTAAACTTCTAATTAGAGATCAAAACAGAAAATTTTTATTTTAGTTACATTTTATTAAGTAATTACAATTAATATAAATGTGTATATACATATGACACACACACAGAATTACATTAAGGTATCCAACTACGATCGGAATCGTAATTTTAAAAAAAAGCGCCCAAATAGATAATTTTTATGATATTTAGTGTCACTTAGATCAGAATACATGTATAAAATTGTTTTAAGGACACATTTTAACAAAATAAAAAAATAAAATATTTAAATATAATATTTTGGCAAAAAAGTAACTTATAGAATAATCTTTTCTCAAAATGTTCTCCTTTTATAAAAAAAATGCTTCTAAAATAATAATATTTTGCTTATATAAAGTAAAGTCTTCTCCAGAAAGTCTGAGCTATTCCTTTTTTATTTTTTTGAAAAATTCTGAATTCTTATGGGAGTGATTCAGATCACAAAATATATTCAGAATATTTTTATTTTTAGAAAATTTCTCGAAATAGCCTCAAATATATATAGACAGACAATATCTAAATTTATCTTCAACCAACTTAACTTAGTTTACGATGCTCATTTATACCCAACTTTATGACTTCTAGTTAATCCTTAGAGACTAATTAAAATCGTGACCAATCAAGCTGGAGATGCCTTTTACTACTCACCGCCAAGCATACAAGCTGTCAAGTTTAGCTCCGTGTTCAACATCCACATCAATTCACTTCGCAGAATAACGAGATCTTTCAATCGCAGTCATATAAAGTGTCACGTAAGGTAATTGAATAGTTTAATGACCGATACTTACTGGTTAATATTGAAGGTAATAGTTGAAAGTTTATTAAATGTCCTCTCCTTAAAATATTTAAATATTTAAATCAATACAAATATCCTTTTGATATAGGATGTAAGCAGATCACTGAAATAAAGGTATTAAATCATTGAGTATTATGGTAGGCCACCGTTTATCAAACTGTGGGGGCGCGAGCGTATTGAAAGGTCGAAAACAAAAGATTATTAAAAAAAATATTAATTTACTGAAAGAAAATAAATAAAATACATTCTGACATAATAGGAAATAAATACACATTTATACTGTTATAATACACTTAAAAATGTAACAGTACTGCAAAATGTATTCGATAATCAATTTAACAATACAAGTTAAGAACACGTTTCATAATTAATTTTGACCCCATAGGCTTGTAATATATAAGCAAATACATACAAAATTTAATTTTTATCTTGATAATTTGTACGTTTTATAAGTATACGTTAACTTACGATTAAAAGATACGTAATTCGCTCCCCAAAGCTAATGTTTTCAGCGTATGTGAGGTATTGGGGGGGGGGAAGAAGAAAAGGAATAAAAACAAGAAAATCCTCTGAAGTAAGTAAATTCTTCGCGAACACTGTTGATGTCTTTTTAATGTATTTCAAAACCCTCGGAATAATTTTATGAATATCAGTGAAAAGAGGAAATATCGCATTTTGGAAAGACGTACATATACGTCCGGGGCAATTAATGCTTTGGCTGAGCGGGACGTTTATATAGTCCGGAGCATTTTCAAGGTTAAAGACGTATTGTAGCTTTAACGCCTCTATACAATAATAAATACATTATTATTGTATAGAGGGGGGGGAGGGGAGATGAAAATTATGATTGAGTATTGGGTCGCAAATATTGAAAGTTTTAGAAGTACTGTTGTATACTATATAAATAATGCATTATAAATATATGCGTTGCGTTTTGCATCGATAAATTAAAAATAATATCAATAAGTGAAAAACTGTTTGATTTTAAACAATAAAAGAAAGCAAGAAATGTATTTGGTAGTATTGTGTAGTTTTACCAGAAATGTTACAAAAGTAAGTATTAGAGCTTTTCGAAGCGAAATTATGGAATTTTCAAAACCTGGTTTTTAAGTTCCATGCAATAAAATCGCTATTTTCATAATCAGGTTATTTACGAAAGTCCTTTGTCTAATAGAAATTTTACAGGCTAGTAAAAATTTACAAATAATTTATTGGCCAGTTTTTACAAATGGGAATCCATTTGTTTTATCATTTATATTTCTCTTATTAAATTTAATTCATTTACCACCATGTTAAACTTTATACATTAATGAAATTTTATTTTTAAATTTAACATTTAATTTTCATTTTATCAAAAACCGACAAAAAACAGATCTAAATTATGAATATCGGAAGAAAATATATAATGGATTATGGCAGTTATTTGTTTTAAATTAATTGTAAAATTGATATTTGACTATTAACATCAATTTTTTAAGTTCAATGGAATATTTTTTAAATTACTAGCAATAAGTGAAAAATACTCAATGCATAAGCTAATTATTTAACAGAAATCCTTAATACATCTAAAACTTGAAATTGAATAAAAAATTATGCTATTTTTTTTAAAAAAAAATAATCAGTTCAATATTTTTAAAAAGTTCTAATGTATTTCAAGATCTATATATACGAATACCCTGATCATAAAAATTAAAGGACAGTGAGAAAAAAAAAATAGGCTCACTAAATTATTGTTGTAGTCGATGCCCAATGTGATGTAATTAATTATGTTAACTTATGTACCCCAATTAATGGTATGGTGTTGTCGTTAGCTGGGACGTTCCACAAATGAGTTTGGATTAGACCTGTCATCACTTCCGCACCATACGAGATGTGACATAAAAAAA